CACGTGTGCACAAAATCACATTTTTTTCTGCATGTACATTGCATCGAGAACCTAAGAAAATCTGCTATATCTAATCTAACGCCAGATTTATAAAAAGAAGATTAAGCACCAGAAACTGTAAGATGCTTAATCTTTTTTTTCTCATCCTAAATATTAGTAAAAAATTTCCCTTGGCACATGTCCCCTAAAACTGTGTTTAGTGCAGCATTTTTTAATGTGGAAGCCGACTCATGCCAGGGGTCACCAAGAGCAGCCCACTGTTGTACCACATGGTTTATTTGGATTGAGGTGGCGATGCAGGCGTGTTGGTTCATGACTTAAGAAATTGGGAACAGCGCGCAAAAGAGACGAGCACAATGAGAGTAGAACACAGGACAAGTGCTGACTATCAACTGAAGTTTTATTAAAAACGGCTCAAACAAGCAAACATCACAAACCCAACCAACGCCAAAACAACCAATCGCATGTCGCTCAGCATGCATCTATAAAATCTATCTCCTTTTTGTGAAGATGAACTGAAGGCTGGCTGACGCAGTGCCCCGAGCCAGCTTTTTCGATTGCATGCACCTCCAGCACCTCTTTGTGCACTTTTGTGCGCCCCCTGCCATTGGTTACGGTATCTTTGAAGACAGCCGGTGAAACAAGCAGTCTCTGCAGTGTATGTATAATTGACTTCCTGTCATTGACCGCAGGGAAAGGGCATGTTCACGCATTCTCTCATTGACGCAGTGTCCCGACGTCCTATATGAACCCGGCTACATGACAATGGGATTTTGTAGATGACACCCACCACGCAATCCACAAACTTGTTGACATGTTTAACCGTACATGACCTCTTGTTACTGTTTGCCTGGTTTACGCACGGGCAAAGTTGTGCTAATTTACGAGGCGCTGAAAAAAACCATTGGCACATTGAACCGGTTAGCCACTTTTTTCAAATTATGTGAAACCTTATGTATACGCCAACTCATCTCTGTTACGCCACGGCGCGGTGGTGGTGCGTTGGTCGCACTTCCGGTCTGGGGCTGTGGGCGGATGTTCCAATGTGAGACGAGCATTCCTGCGTTGTTTTGAAAGGAACCAGAAAAAACCTACCTTCTCGTCAAAACGCCACGACTGGGGCTGTACCAAAAGAGTCGAGAAAGGTTTGAAGGTCAGTTTTCATGTGCTCGGTTCGTCCGAGATTGTGGATATGTGCCGTGAAAAGGAAAAGTCAGACACCGTTGCACCACGATTGCTTGGGCGGGAGGCAATTTGGGTTGAATTCATGGATAGTTTGGCCGTCATATTTATTTATTTTGTTCCAACATGAAAGCGGGAAAACTGTCATGTTGTACGGACCACCTGCAGGCTACGTTCAGTGTGTCTTCAAGTTCACTCGGCCGCCTGATTGTTCAAACTGTCGTCTGCTCTTTCAAACTTTTCTGCTTGTCGTCTGCTTTTTCAGACGACACCGGCCTGTAGACCAAACCATGGTCGGTAATTGTGATAAGAAGTGAGTGCAGGCCTCAAAAGACAAGTTTGAAGGTTCGTTGAGTTAAGCAGGCTCGGTGTGAGCAGTAGATACAAAGAGATGTTGATCATTCTTACCAGTGGCCATCACCGACTTCTTATATCTGATTCACTTGGTGCGATTCTGCTTGCAATTTTCAGTATCAACGTCGACCATCTCAGCTACGGTTGACGCTTTTGCAGCCCGAACGACGTTGTGACTGAAAATTGCGAGTGGACTCTCATCATGCGAATCGGGCTATAGCGTCCATTCTGCGGCGTCCATGCGGAATGAATCATCTCATCTCACATTATTCATGCGAAGTATTGCGGTGTAACGAGCCTAGGTAATTTCGCCGAGGCCGCTCAAGTAGTCGGACATTGCCTGGAAGACATAAAATCGAGAAGTCCAACACGAAAAAAAGCACGGGGACTCACACCGATGATGACAACATCGCAATTCCACTGTTTGTTTATGGGCGACGGCGAACCTCTTGCCCACACTCCATCGCGCATGCGCGCTGCCGGTGGCGACTGCTATAATCTGTTTCATACTTAGCGTGCAACGCTGCCAAAGCTACTGGCGCGAGCGCGTGGCTTCATGTATAGTTTTGTTTGCGCGAGAACTCGTGCAAATGATCAACGAGATCAAGCCCCACGCTCGAGCCAGTAGCTTTGACAGCGTTGCACGCTAAGTATGAAACAGAGTATAGGGCCTCTCCGGTTTATTTGTAAACATGAGTTGGTGTGAGTTTCTTGTATTAGGACCAGCTTTAGTTATGCAAACACCCATGCAGCTGCAGCCCTTACAAAAGCTACTCACTTGCTCTAAGAGACTTTGCTGTGGTATACATTAAGACAAAATATGGTGTTGGCTTTGGCTAAATGTTGTCAAATATCTGTTCATGACATCCCACTCAAACACTGGTCAATAACTGGCCCATGAAAGGGGCTGTACACTGTATGTCAGCAGTTGGATGTGTCTTATTGGATATTCCTTCATGCAGACCTCAGGGGACCTTCCAGTGGCATAGCCAGGGCGAAGACATATGGGGCTTCAGTCCCCCCCGTGAAATCCAGCCGATCCTATGTTATGTATATACATGAACTCTGACACTCCCCCTCCCCTCCCCCCCCTCCGCACACTAAGTCATGGACATCTCAATCGCCTAAGCCCCTTTCCCCCACCTTCAAAAAAAATTCCTGGCTACAGTCGAACCCTGATATATTGAATTCCAAGGAATCTCAAAATAGTAGTTTGATATATCGATAATTCAATATAGTATAAAAAAATGTTAATTTAAACTCTCTTTCGAAATTTTGTGCATCTACAATCATTATTGAAGAATGTGACAAACGAAAACTTGCCAATTAATTCAGCCAAGAACTCCTAAATACTGTAAAACTTTGTTAAAGCGTAGTTTGCAAGAAGCACAAGCATTGCGGCTAGTGTGGTGCACTTCACTGCGGATACGCGCCATCTCAGCAGCACGAGCGAGCGAAGGAATGCGAAAATAAAGGAGAAAGCCAAAATTTAAGGAAAGGTTGGGATGCATAAAAAAAAGCACCACTCTTCTCATCTCTTAATCCATAGAAAAAAGAAATTCAAACAACCAAGAAAACTGGCATAAAGTCAAAGGAAGCGAGAAAAGGCAAGAAACAAAGTGGCAGAAGAAAAATGTGAACAAGGATAAAAAATGCCATTGAAGTATGATTGCAAAAACGTTGTTGACACTCTTAACCAGTTCAAATTTTTTTTTTCTCAATGGAATTAAAAAGACATTGATGCCCCCAAAATTTATGTTATTTTTTGCCAGGCAATATGGTGTCGGAAGACTGCCCAATCAGTATTTTGCTACAGTGTCACATATATTTTTAATAAAGTAAAAAAATACAACTGCTTGAAACCGAAACAGAAACTGGACTGGGGAGGAAGAAAAAACTTAGAGGAGGAGACAGAAGGTGGAAGTCCCATGGCTGGGATACTTTTTTGCCCCCAAACAACGCATTCACAGGTTTTAGAAGCCAGAAAAAATGGGTATCATATTTCTTTTCTATTTTTATTATTGTGTGTATGCCTTCAATGATTCACGGCTTTGATTATATATTTGGTGGTTATGTCTAAACCATAGAAAACAGCACGTGGCCACGGAGAAGAGAGTGAGTGCGACTCAAACCAGCCAGTTCTCAATCGGCTTTTTTCGGTCAAAAAGAAAACGAATTTCGAGCCGCAAATTGTTTTCTGGGCAGCTGGATTCTTATATGGTATGTACAAATAAGAACCTTGGCGAGCATAAATACCCTGTCAGTGTCCCTTTAAGGAGTGAAGGCAATGTGTTAGTTTCCCTTCTGCTTCCTGGCTTTTTTCGCTGCAAACTCCAACAACAGGCAAACAAGCTTCCTGCGTCCCCTTTGCGCGGCCCTCACCTCGGGACACACATTACATAGACGAGGATCCTCTTTTTTGTCCAAAATGCATGTTTTGAATCAAGCAATCAATATCTTGTACTGCCTTGGCACATGCAAATTGATTGCAGGACCAGCTATGGCAGTGTTCGGGGAAAGCCTCCCTACCAGGGGGAGTTTGGCACCCTGGGGTGCTATGTTGCACTTTTTGGACTCTTAGGAGACTAGGGAGAAGGAAGTGACATCAACGATACAGCAAACGCAGATTGGATGTTGACAGAAGAAAACAAAATCAACATCCAATCTGCATTTGCTGCATTGTTGATGTCACTTCTTTCTCCCTAGTCTCCTGGGAGTCCAAAAAGCTCAACATAGCACCCCTGTTCAATGTATCGAATGTCCCAGGTGGTCGGAGTTCGATACAGACGCACAAGGCTCCTATACTTTTACATTGGATTTTCATGAGGATGTTTTGACTGTTTGAAATAGACAACAATTAGAAATACCTAGGTTCAATATACTCGGGTTCGACTGTACTTCTCGGCACGATGCAGATGGCTCATAATATGTCCCAAGGAAGCTAGCCTTTGCACCTGCTGTAAACCCGACCTTACAGAGAAGAGTTCCCATAATGTGCCACACTTCATTGAAAAAGTCAGTACAGTGCAATCCACCCATAATGATAATGAGAAAACCCGAAAATTGAAGCGCTATAACCAGATTATCATTGTATCTGGACTAGAAGCTGAGCGTTTCCAGTCTTGGAAATAAAAACTGATCAGTATAGGCAGTACATGATTATATCTGGTATCAATATAAGTGGATTGAACTGTACAAAAATGGCAGATGCTCGTGGGGAAAACGCACGAAGACAAAATATCTCGAAATGTTAACCTACACTTTGTTCGGAGTCTTAGCCTTTTTGGGACGAAGTCTCTCGGCGAAATATTGACTGCTTGTACGAGGCTCTGCAAAAGGTTCCTCCTTAACGAAATTCATTATCAAGGCGGTCGTGTCGGCTACCAATTACGATTGCAGAAAGAGTGAGCGCTTTGATAACCTCGACTGTCTCTTGCCCCTCTTCCCTGACCCAACTCTCGCAGGCACAGCGGAAGACCAGGGAGTGGCCTTTGCCCTGAGGAAGGAGCTATACAACCTCACCCTCTCGGTCGACCTCCGCGTCATCTTCAACGGCAGCCTCAGCGTTGTCCTCACAGCAGGCGGCGGCGGCGGCAAGCCGTCACTTTACGGAGTTCACTACATCATGACGGACACACACCTGGCGGTAGACGACCGCGACATCTACTACGGCATTGGCACGAGCCGCTCTTGGATGCATCTCACGCGCGACCTCGGCGTCGACCTGGTCAAGGGCCTGAGCTTCGGCCAGCACCGGACCGCCGCCCGGCCCCGCAACCTCCGCGTACACAGCATCGTCCTCCGCGGGCACGGGCTCCTCGACAACCTGACCCTCTCGTCGAGCGCCCACGAGGCCCACTTCTTCGACGCGGCAGACTGGTTCGTCCGCCGCCAGGACGACGCGGGTGGCTGGCCGATCAAAGTAACTCGCCGCCTCTCCAACGGGATGCTGGAACTTGAGCCCGGCTGGTATTCAGCCATGGCCCAGGGTCAGGCCATGTCGGTGCTGACGCGGGCGTTTGCGGCGACGGGAAAGAGGGACTACCTGGACGCCGCGCTGCGTGCGGTCGGTCCGTTTCGGATACGCTCAGAGAGCCGCGGCGTCATGACGACCTTCCTCGGGAAATTTGTGTGGTACGAGGAGTACCCGACGGTGCCCAGTTCCTTCGTGCTCAATGGCTTCATCTACTCGCTGTTTGGGCTCTACGACCTCAAGTCGACATGCGGGGAGGGGTCTTCGGAGGAGCTGTGTAGGGACGCGGCAAAGCTCTTTGCGGACGGAATGGTGTCGCTCAAGAGAATGCTGCCACTGTTCGACACCGGGTCGGGCACGGTGTACGACCTGAGGCACTTTTCGCTGGGGGTGGCTCCCAACCTAGCTCGCTGGGACTACCACACCACGCACATCAACCAGCTGCTTTACCTGGGGACGATCGACGATGATCCCGTGTTTGGGGCAACGGCCGAGCGCTGGGTGCAGTACATGAAGGGCAAGAGGGCCCCTCACAACTAGGAGGGGCGAGGGAGAAAACTGTAGGAGGACCAAGCTTCCTTGTGGCCGAGATTGTGCGGGTGTCTGGTTTTCCCCTTCTCGTTTGCACACAAGGAAGGCAAACTGCAAAGTCGTTTCTTACGAAGGAACGTCGGTAAAGTTAAGACGAACGACGCTTCGGTAAAGGTGCCAAAGTAAACGTTTACGTTTTCTTCGTGCGGAAGGTCTGCATTTAGCCAGTTTTTTGTATTTGAATGCTCGTGTCTCTCCGAAATCTGAGGTGACTTTGTAGGCGATCTTGCGAGCTCTTTGAGCACTAACGTCTGTGTCTTGACTGTATAATATTCAACGTTGGTAGCGTTATGATTTATATTCCCAAATTGCTCGACAACCTGTTGTCCCGCCGAGCTTTTCTATCTTGGTACAAAGTAGGGAGCGACAGAAACTGCCCTCTTGCTTTGAAGCGTCTTGTGTGCCGACCTTCCTTTGGTCTGGAACCTTACCGTGTATGCGTGCCTCCAATGACGAGATATCCGGGGAGTGTATATTTTGATGGGCGAGCTCGTTCCAAAGGGCAGATCTACACTTTCAGCGGATGACGTGTTCCTTTGGAGTTATATTTACGAGGCCTCCCGCCCTGCCGGTTGGCTTGGTCGTACCAGGCGCAACTGGATACCATTGTCTTTCACTTCAATAGCAGCCACAAAAGACTGTCACAGACATTGTTTCTCCAGCTTGCCCAAGCCCAGGCAAGGGCTTGTGTGCCCACCTTGTGGGCGTTCAGTTATAGAAGACTGGGAAACTTTAATTGTCAGTTGCTGTTAAGAAAGGTGTGCTCGTCTCGTCGCATGTTTCGCACTCGTTCACCGACAATTTGAGTTTGTGAAATTGTTTCCTGACATCGATGCTCTTAGTCCTGGTTTTGCAGAGGAATGTAATGAAATGGTGGACTTTATATATATATAGTCAAAAGCCGTAAATGAGATTGTGTTGTTCAGAAAAATATTCTAGAACACTTTCTGGTTGTTGATGCATCATGGACGATTTGCATCCTTAATATGGTGATAGACTCCTTCGTAAAATTCTTGAAATCAAATGCAGCACATACACTCTTGGACATTGTGAGCTAAAATCACCAAGCAGTGAGTGTGCCTGGAGAGCAGACAAAAGACATAAATGTCAAAAAAGCTATAGAACAGTGCCCAAAGAACTTGTGGCTAAACGCCTTCGTTGCGGCTACTTCAGCTTATGTTATGCATGCAGGACCTCCATATTGGCACTCTGCAACTTCAGCTTACATCGTCCAAGGCTGTACCTTCTGCAATACTTACAAGAAGACTTTGACGAGCGTGTTGGGACAGATGTAACAGTAAGAAAGCACAAAACAAACAGAGGGACAAAAACAGACATGTACAAGCTTGTACATGTCTGTTTTTGTCCCTCTGTTTGTTTTGTGCTTTCTTACTGTTACAAATACTTACAAGTTTGCACATTCTCAGTTACATTTAAGGTTCATACTTCTCCCTTCCCACTCTTAGTCAGATTATACATTTGTTGTCTGGGAAGGATGGTTAATGTGGACATGAGAGGAGTCGTTTTTAACTTTACATAAATGTAAGTCTGAATGCTTAAATCGGCCACATCAGGACCACCTTAGAATAAATTTCCAGAGATAGAATCATAATTCATTATGAGTTCACGTGGTACAGTTAAAAGTGTTGCAGCTCATCACATTAGTGCACATTGAAACTCCAAAGGGCTAACATATCTTGATAATGAAAAATGCTGAGACCCATCTGGACATCTTGTCAATTTAATCTTGTTCTATTTCATTGATATCTAAAGGTCTCTCTGACTCAGCTATATATCGTCTAAACAAGCTGTTTCATAAAACAAAAAGAAAAAAAAAAGAAGCTTGTGAAGCATTTTGAGGTTACACCAAACCAATCTGTGATTGGTTGGTGAAACTTTCAATGACAGACAGTTGCTCAGTTTTGATTAAAGCTAAATACCCATCTGAATCTCTTCACAACTAACTGTGTTCCGATCAAGGTTTCTAGTAACTGGACAACGGGTAGCGGCTAATACGTCGATCATAACATTCCACTTTATGTTCTGTTGTAGCCAGCTTTGTGAATGTGCTGAATTTATTAATTGTTTAATAATTACTTAGCGATCAATCCCTGAGCGCCTTTGACCTGGGGGTTCAAGGGGGCCTCTGAAATGCTAAGAATTGATGACGAAAAAAGAACTCACAATATTTATTTGTTTGTTTGTATTATTGATATAGGATGTGTCAGTTGGAAAGAATGAAAATCTTAAAAAAGCTTTTTTTTTTAATTGAAAGTGTTTGTTAGTTGAGATCGCTTTTGGAAACACTGACAGGAACCGTTATGTATAGCCAGCTTCTATTTTGTATTTCTAACTGTAGTGTGTTTTTTGCCACAGTTGTTTTAAAAGGCAAAACAAGTGGCAGAAATAAAGTTTCTTCAATGTTAAAATAGGATATAAGTACTACAAAATGTTCCTTACTACTTATTTCAAATGAACTTGACATAATGTTGGCTCTTGAGAGCTAACAACTAAAACAACCCCTTTGTAGAAAAAGAAAAAGTGTGTTTTAGAAAGTGCTGAAGGTGTTATTTCATATCATACAGTGCTTTTAAAATCAGAAGCTATCATTCCTTTATGACCCTGTATTGTGACTGCCTCTTTTTTTTTTTTTTAATCGAATAGCTACAAACTGTGTGGGCTGTTGAATTCAATGGGATCAAGTTCGAACAATGCAGACCTCAAATTCGAAGCGTCCATAAAGTAAGTGTTTTGTTTTGTAATCCTACAAAGCAATCAGGCTGCAGCTTTCTTTTGTGCTGTAATATTTAACATACAATTTCTGGAAGAAAGCTCATTGGAGAACTTATTGGCCATTACTGACTTTTATTTATTATTTTTTTTACAAGTGCAAAAAAGGTTTTATTAATTTTTTTTTTTTTTGGGGGGGGGGGAATGGGGGAGGGGGGGGGGGAGTTTCACATTTCACTAGAGATAATGAGGAGGCTTCCTGAGCAAAGGAAAGATTTATTGTTTTCTTTGGAATGATGGGGAAGGCTTGATGATCACTTTGGTTCGTTTATTCTTATTAACTTTCTCCCTCTTCCTGCCTGGGGTTTGCACAACCACAAAAAGAAAGTGTGATCTGCATGTTGGTGACCAGTGATGATATGTTGGTGTTAATGTGTTGTGGAGGGCACAGAGGAATACTATGAACCTAAATTTTCTTTTTGTGAATTGCTAATGTTGGTTAAGAATATTTCAGTCTCTGTGCCTGTGCTTTCATGAAATCTTGAACTCACAAATTGTTCCTAAATGCGAGCAAAGATCAAATCGAGAAAGTATTGAACTCTGGGAAACAAGATCATCTATGACATGCAAGCATCAGCTTTTCCCACAGTGACGGTGAGCTTTTCTCTGATGAACATTTATCTGGTCAACTTTTTTTCAGCAGTTTTTCTCGGGCATGCTTTACCTCGAACTGAGATTTTAGATATGTTTTAACATGCTCTCCATAACCTGAGTTCCAACCCGTCATCTGACAAGATGTTTGTTTGCATGTACTTATGTGTGTGTTCTTTTTTTTTGCACATGCTAGATTTTAGCAGTTGCGCGAAAGAATGTTTTTTTTTCTTTTCTTGTAGGCTTTTATGACTTGGAAACTGTTTGCATATATTTATTTCATTGTCTTCTAGCTCTGTAGGTCTGACTGCTAGGATGGTTATTTGTGTACTTTTTATGCACCGATTGGTTGGTGATGGCCTTACCTATTTATATCTCAAACCAGGAATGTGTTGATGAAGGCAAAATTGGTTGCTATGATGATTGAGGTGATAACAGATAGTTATGCTTAAAGCTTTGAATGTTTTTGTTTGCATTTTATTATACTTGAGACCCTAGTCTTTGCTTTCTCCTTGTTTTCTTTTTCTAATGCCGAATTCATGTATGACAACGACGGTGTGGATTTTTACGATGGACACAATTGTATGTATGCACTTTGCCCGAGACTCAACGAGTTTTTAAGGTTGTGAATCCATATATGTTGATAATTATGGACATCTTTATTGGATTTAGTAGAGCTTTTCCTAAAATCTGTTTGCAGAGTGCCATATTATATTATGTTGGCAACCAATTACCTCCAATTGCCCCTGAATTTTTACATTAACAGGGTCTTGTGCTTTTTGGTTATGTGTCTGCTGCAAATACTGTACCATTCAAGGTACTACCCTATATTTATTTTCTATCGTTATGCTGATTTCTTTTGATAAAGTGGTTCTAAAAGAGCAGCTATGATAAAAGTTAGGCTGGGCAAATAGGTTGAAATGTAACTGTTATGTTGACTGGACAAAAGAAGAAGAAAAAAAAAGGAAGAAAAAGGAATTACAAAATTTATTAACTTGGGAAATTCATTGTGCTTGATGCGAGACAAGTTTGGTTTTGACAGAGCCTATCTGTCTTTTCTGAATGTGACAGACATTCAGAGATGGACCGCAGGAACCTGAATGTGTGAATGCAGTTTTTGCTCAGATGAACCGAGTCTTCCTCCTATCACCAACAGCTGCGTCAAATGCTCTGGAAAAGCTACTTTTCCAAGGATAGTCTGCATTGCATAAAAATTATCTGAAAATTGAGGTTCCTGTCGATACCTCTTGGTATTCTCTTGACATGTTAGTCATTGACTCTGCATGAATGGCACCGTGCTATGCATATGAAGTGAAATGATATAGTATTTCCTTGTTAATGCTAAACGTTGCTTCATGTTGACACTGAATTTAGGTTGAAGAATGTTTACGAGCTCTGTGTGCCTGTCTGTTTGCAGGTTTAGTTTTCGCAGTACCTCACATTTATTTATGCGTTTATTGAGATCACCGTGCTATTACGAATGGCTTGAGAGAGTATATATTTTGCTTTTATCATTTCTTTCGTGATATACCTGCTGTGTTGTGATTGCAAAAGGAAGACTGTGAAGGATTGTTTTTGTCGCGTACTTATCTGAAGAAAGTACCTAACAGCTCTCGAGCTTGCCTTTATCCTTTCTTCTCAGTTGGGTTGTTTCCTAATGCAAACACATTCAGGCGTTGTTGAAGCTTTTGCCCACTAGGCAATGTTTTGATTTGCAAACGATACAGCGAAGCATGCAGTTCGATGACTGGGGATTTCCAAGCTCCACTGTAAGGAGGTTTTGTATCAATATTTTGAAAAATAAATGGTTGTGGAAAAACCAAAGCTGGATGTCTCTCTGTCATATAAAGTAGGGGGCTTGTCACTAGGGGTCAGACGGTGAAGCATCATTAAATGTTTTTGTTATAGGAAGTCAAATTATGTGCCAAATTTTAAAGCAATAGTTTTTTATAGTGTTAGCTTTACGGGTGACACTTTGCAGACCCATTTAGACCTTTCTTCTCTCCGCTTTTGGTGCGAGGCCAGGGAAGCGGGTTTTCCAGCCGACCGCCCGGCTTCTGAACAGTAATGGCATTATGAAAGGAGAGTCTTCCGTGTCATCTGCTTAAAAGCTTGAAAACTTGAAAACTTGTTTTCAAACGTTACTTGTGTTACGCTAAATCCCACTTCGGCAGTATCCAGTCGCTACGCGTAATGTTCGATGGTTCTAGAAACTTCCATTGCGCTTACCCACTTACTTCACGGATCACTGGTGACAGTCGTCCGTGGCATCCACCACGCCAACCACGATGGCTACGAGAATTAACCACGTCGCACCTCCGTCCTCAGGTATGTAACGGCACCATTCCACCTGCATTGCACGACCATGCTACAGCTATCGCTTTTGTTTCTTCGCACATTGTGGGTGAAAAATACAACTTTTTTGGATAAGTGGGCAGATAATCAGCGGTCATTTTTGAAGCACTGTGGTCTGTAGCTTGTAGTGTGTGTTGCAGCAACAATTATCCTAGGGCTGAGGCCACCATATTTTGGGCAAGAACTCCGAGCACTTATGTCTCACCTGCATTCACTGTGAACCCGAGTTCAAACGTACAGGGCACGAACGCCACGTCAGTATTGGGCGAGCACTTCGGTCTAATCGCATGCTTTACGCTGCCAACAACACTATGCCAGCCGCCAACGTTGCTCAGTGAAGTCCTGTAAAGGGTATCGTCCAAAATACTGAAAGCAAGTGTTCACCGAATACCACGTAGAAGACAAGTGATAAACACGTGCAGCTAGATGGGTAACTTCTGGCAAAGCAGCAGACAGGTTTATCTTCTCATCGCTGTGCACGAACAGTGCACGTGCGAGACGCTGTCAATGCGTTGGGGATGTGCTCGGGGCAGTCTGGTTGTTACGTAGGCATGAGTCTGATAGTGAGGACTCCAGAGGGAAAGTTGCAGCGGGCCTTGTCTTCCAGGAGGCAATGGCTCGCCACCAAGGATGACATAAAACTACAATGCGTGGGTTCAAGAATATGACTCGCATGGCCTCCGAAAATTGATGCAGGGATGTAAGTGCTGCACCAAACTGCACTATGAACAAAAGTATGATATGTTGCGCCAAAATGACAATTTCGGCTAAGAAATGCGCTATGACGGGCTTAAGCGAAACGTAAATATGTTTTATTGGTCGATCCTTCTGTTCAGATAAAATGAGGAAAGGAGTACATATATGTATTTTACTGTCTCCCTGCAGTATAGTTTGTTTAGTCTTGGGGTAGAGCACAGTCGAAGGCTCGAGCACATAGAGTCACGAACACTCAAACTAGAAGCGCAAGTCACTGGACATTTAGCTGTTCTTGATTGGGAGAAATGGCGGCATTCCGATCGCCATTAACTCGGTTCTCGAGTACGGTAATCGGAGTCACTCTTTTAAAACAGGCTCTATGGCAGTTTTCCAACTCGGGGGTTCTAGTAACGTTGCCGTCGGTTTAACCTGCACGCCCCACGGTGACCGGCCCGCTAAATTTAGTGGGAAATTGAATTGGTGTTAAGGTTACGTGACGTCAATTTTTCCGCATTTTCATTGATAGACGTGTCAGCAGATACGCTGGTATTTGTAGGCATTTCACAGAAATTATATTTATTGGCTGAATAAACTACCAGGTACTAGAGCACTATATAGCTCCTTCGGAGCAGAGTAGCGCAATCTAGAACGCCGCCTCTCGGCGACTAGCGGCGAACGCCCGGAGGTTCCAACTGCGGTCAGAAATGCATGGAGAACGTGAGAAAATCATTGTTTTTCCAGTATTGTGGGAATGTACGGAATCGCAATCATTTTGACATAATAATGGAACACTTTAGAATACTTTGCGCTAAGTTTTGTGCCCCGCAAGGACCTGACTTTTTTTTTAAAATTTGCCTGAGCGGCATCTTGCAGCAGACGACACGGCGACGTCGCACCATTCACGTGACCCGCTCCGGCCAACCCGAAAAGCCCATCTCCGCTGCGAGCAAAAATCATCTGCTTCAAACGCCATTGCCTTGGAAATTGCATTCTCAAAATTTGCACACGCATCCGATATTATTAAAACTTTGATAAAGTGTTTAGTGCTTTACTAACTTCACGACGGACTAGTTTTAAAAAGTGTGAACTCGCTGTTCATTTTTTAATCAGCCATGTTGTGTTGATCTCCATGTATTCTCCCATAGGGCGGGCCGCCTCCTGGAACCCTGAGTGCCACGTGACTCGCGCCGAGCCGCTCTGTCGGCCATGTTGTCGGCAAAACACGGGGTTCAAAGGATTGCACTACTCTGCTCCGTAGGAGCTATATAGTACTCTACCAGGTACAAGAGTGGGAGGGGAGAGAGGCTTTATCCTAACTGAAGCGTTGCACTATGATTAATTTCAGAGTAGGGGTGTCGCGAACCGGCCGAGGTTCGAGTTCGACCAGGTTCGACTTTTTTAAACTTTTTGGTGGAAATTTCGACGAGCCTTGTATTGAGGTTCGACTCGTGTGCGCATGCGCGACAGGCTGGCCAGTTGGCTTCAGATTGGATGGTGATGGCTAAGGGATGAATCAATGGCAGCGCAAGTTATTAACTTCTTCAGTGATTGGAACTGGTTTCTTTTAATTACAACTGTTAATAAAATAAAATAACCCTTTGCATAAAAAAAAAAATTCTCAAAACCTAGACATGCTTGTATCAAGGTCTGGCCACACAGTCCACAAAGTCGAACGGGTCGAATCTGGTGAAAAGTTTGAAGGTTCGAGTTCAACCCAAAAATCCGGTTCGACAAAAGTTTGCGACAGCCTTATTTTAGAGAGCAGCTCTTGGGCGCCTGTTTCTGGGTTTCGCGGTGTCGGCTTAATCGACCCGCTAAATTTAGCGGAACATTAAAATGGTGTTGAGGTCACATGACGTCAATTTTCCCGCTAAATTTAGCGGGAAAAATGACGTTACATGACCTTGTGTGACGTCACCCATGAACGAATTGTTTCTTTGCTAGATTTAGCATGAAAACTGACGTCATGTGACCTCAACACCAATTCAGTTTTAGAGTGCAGCTCTTAGGTGCCCTCTATGGGTTGAGCGGCATCAGCGTAACTGTGCTCAACTTAACGGGAAAGTTGACGTCACGTGACCTCCATCACCAATCCAATTCCCCGCTAAATTTAGCAGGCAAAAAGATGTCGCACGACTTGGTGTCATGTCACCCAGGAACAAATTCAGGTTCTCCGCTAGGTTTAGCAGGAAAATTGACGTCATGTGACCTTAGCAGCAATTCAATTCCCCGCTAAATTTAGCGGGAAAATTTACGTCACTTTATTTCAACGCCAATTCAGTTTCCTCGCTATATTTAGTGGGGACACTGACATCACATGACTTGGTGTCATGTCAGCTATCAACAAATTCAGTTTCTCCTCTAGATATAGTGAGAAAATTGATGTCACGTGACCTCAACAACAATTCAATTCCCCGCTAAATTAAGCGGGGAAAATGACGTCATGACTTGGTGTCACAACACCCTTGAACAAATTCAGTTTCTATGCTAGATTTAGCAGGAAAATTGACGTCACGTGCGGTGGAGGAGTAGCGCAGGAAAGGAGGGGATGACAAGGAGCAGAGGAGGGAGGAGAGGGTGGAGGGGCGTACCCTCCCCTCCTCCTTATCGAGCTGCACTCTAATTTCGCGTTACAGAAACTTGTAAACGTCTACCTTTTTTAAAAAAATTTTTTAGTACCCATTGTAAATGGAACTTACTCCGACCAGAGCATTATTTTAAAAACAAGAAGGTTCTGTGTTCTATTTGTACCCTACCTACTCTTATTGCAAAACGTAATAAGCGATATACTCCAGTATCAGGGAGGAACCCTCAATCATTAACAAAGATAAACTCAAATAGTAATACAATAACTTTTTAATTTTCAAGCGATGTGCTAACAGATGTTGCCTTCTGCTCCAAAGCGTCAGTGACTGCTCCAACCCAAAGTTTTGCCTGCTACGGAACCTGCTACAAAAATTCAAATGGCAGTTTGATCACTGTTGATGTCAGCACAAGAGGACTACTGCAGGCTTAAAATGTTTTATTCGTATATAGCAGGTAAATGAGCAATCTGAATGAAGCATCCTGTAGTTGAAGCTCAATCGAGCAGGTCAATCGGGTTCATTCATTGTGTATTTAAGAGGGTAAACATGCTGTTGTGCAACATTCCAGAAACTGTATAGATTCAGCAAAAGCTCCAAGAACACGGTAAAAAGCTTAGGCATACATTTGCCCCGACCGCGACATGAATATGCATAGTTTTCTGCCAACGCCGTAAAATGCTTATTGCCACTGAAGCTTTTACGTTAAATAAAACGCCCCTCAACTTCAGACAGTTTGTACATATTGCTATTCATGTCCGAAGTCATTTGTTCCTGTGGCCTTCAATGCACAGTAGAATGAGTATCAAGTATCTGAAATGCAAATGGCATACTGCAAGCCTTCTTATCAGGCTTGCTTTCAGGCTTGCTTAAATGTAATGTGAGCATGCATTTTCATACCAAGAAAATATGTGCGTAATCGTGACTAGATAATTTGTCAAAGGGATATGACCGAAAGGTGTGCAAAAAAGCAAGGCCGTCAAGCAAGGCCACCACTCTGCTGCAGTTCCTTATACTGAACTGCACACACAAATCTGAGGGCCAAGTAACAGGTAGTATCACAACCAAGAGAGCACCATTTGCCTGCATTAAACTAACAACTTTTTCAACTGATTCTCAGTCCTATTACAAAAGCAAGCAGATGCACTAAAACCTGCTTGCTGTGTCCTCACTGAAGAGAGTAAAGTGTTGGAAAGTTAGGCACTTAGCAATGCAATTCCAGCCTGTCACAAAAAAACATGATAGATCTCTAAAATGAAAACAATAAAAGTATAAAATCCTCAATTCTGAAGCTGAATTGTTCACACAACAGATATCTACATCATGATGGGCCAGGAGCAGAGAAAAGGTCAAATGGGTACAACGAATCACAGAATGGACAATTTGCTCTCGATATTTGATCTGCAAAGCGGACATAGTGAGACGTCTAGGCTGCACTCGAAGCAACAGCAGACATGACCACAAGGTGCAAAAACCAGCAGTGTCTTGACATCAAAGCACACAACACACTCTGAACTGCACCATAATCGGAGATCGTGAGTTGGCGGCAACGCAGCAGGGCTTGCAACTGCTGACTTAGAGGACTCCTCTTCGGGTGAGGGTGCGCTGGGTTGCATTTCTTTGGAACGAAATGCACTCACAGAATGTTCTACTGCCATCAGCAATGTCTGGATAACTACTTCGGAGGCAATTCCCAACCGTCTAAAGTCATCCTGGTTCATAGACGTGAAATCCTCCCAGCTAACTTTCTTAGATGCAAACAACGTGGAATAGTGCTCGGCATTGGCCGTTTCTAAGATGTCTGAAATGCGTGGGTCTAACTGGTTCTCCATGGCACATACTCCTTCAGGTTTCCTGTCCAAAAGTCTCTGGTATTGCAGGAGCCAGAAATCAATCATTTCCTCCTGCCTTCGATCCTCCATGTCTTTTATCTGGCTCTGCAGTTCTTTCTCACGTATGGCCTTGTCATCCAGTAGCTGGGCCAGAAGGTATGCAAGTTCTACGCGGTGCCTCGACAAAGCTTCCATTTCAGACATTACTTTGAGATCTCTTCTCTTGAGCTCAGCTTCGGTCAGTCGCTTCAGTTCTTTCTCAACCAGCCTGATCTGCTGCATGATGTGGCAGTGAGTGTAATCATGCTTAATCTGCAAGGCTGTGAATGCTTGCCTTTGGTATTGCTCCTCATCTAAGATACGGCCAATAAGTTTGTCTTGTTCTTTTCCTTTTGTGCTCATTGCGTCTTGAAGCAGTCGGTCAGTCACCGCTTCCTCTTCATGGATGTCTTTTGCCATACTTTCCCTTTCCTGCCTGTAGAGTCTCTGTCGTTCCTCTTGCTGCAGCACCTCTGCCATAGAGCTGAGGACCTCTCTGCGGCGGATGAAATCCGTTTCCGTCTGCTGGCAATTGAAGAGTTCCTCCATCTCAAGCCGCTCCTGCTCCAGTGCCCGCGCACGGGCTTCCGAGTTTTTAGACCGGGCTTCGTTCGATATCTGCTGGATCAGTGCCGCAGAGTGGTCCTCCAAATGTGCCAGGAGGGACAACAGCTTTTGTTTCTCCGTGTCTTTCTTGCTCTGAATGTTCAATATGGCGTCCTCGAGGACATCCTGCTCGCGAGCAATTTCGAGAAGAAGCTGTCGCTTTCGTTTATGCGTGTCTTCCGTTATCGTCGCCTGGCTGGCCATGGTATCTCTGAGCCTTGCCTCCATATCTAAAAGCTCTAAACGCCGCTTGTCTTTTCTTTCTTCGAATTGCTTGTACTGGTCTTCTGCCTCCAGCTCGGGATAGGTTGCTGGTTTCACCGCATCCATGACGTCAGAAGACTGGTCTAGAAAATCGCTAGACGGACTGAACGAGACACCCGCTGAATCGCACAGAAATTGCATGATGGTGTCCAGCGACTGCTCGCAGACATTTGCTGGAGGGAACGTGTATTTTTCCGCGTCCAAAGTTAGCGCCTGCAAACATTTCAGTTCGTGAAAATCCACCGGCAGTTTGCTGATGGCATTCCGACTGACGTTCAACTTCTGTAGCCTCCTAAGTTTCACGACGGGAGACGGGAAGTCCTTGAACTTGTTCTCGCTCAGGTTGAGTGACTCCAGCAGCAACAGCATCGCGAAGCTTCCGGGAAGCTTTTTGAGAGCGTTGCCGCCGAGATCGAGCACGCTTAGGCATTTCAACAAGCCGAAGTCGTCGGGCAAAGAGGACAGTTTGTTCGCGTGCAAGTCGAGGACGATGATTTCGCCGAGGTCCTTCAACAGACCACCACCGTTGATCGACGAAAGCCTGTTGTCGTGCAGCAGCAGCGTCGTTTTTCGAAATACGCGACACTTCGAGAAAACACCTGACGGAACGTCAGACAGAGAGCACTCCGACAAGTCGAAAACGGGCTCCGGGTTTTCCTGGGCGAGGTAGAGCTTGCGTTCTAACTTCGTCCGAATATCACCAGATACCTTCGACCACTTGAACAACGGCATGCCCGCGTCTGCTGGCTCTTCGATACCGGACATGCAGGTGCGAGCGATACACAACAAAAATATAATTCAGACCTTGGTAACGTCAATAAAGTTTCCTGTTCACCCAGCATAAAACATACGTCGCCATCGCTTCCCAAGTTGCAGAAATCGCTGGGGAATGAAATGCCACACAGTAGTGTGATTTGTAGTCGCTAGATGCCGACACTGCTGAAATGGGGTGAGCCTTTTCTACGGGGCGCTAGATGGCGCAAGGGATTCCACGCCAACACGAAAATACGCAGCGACATGAGGCGTTGGTTACAGCAAGAAAAACCACGCTTTCATAATGCCCGCGTTTTTTTTTTGTTTTTGGAGGGGGGGGGGGGGGGGGGGGGGGGAAGGGGGAAGGGGAGGGGAGCGGAGCGGAGAGGAGAGGACAAGAGGAAACTTGTTGCTTCATGATTCGTTCTTCGGCATCTACCAATGCCTCTGTCAAATTGCTTTTGATGTGTTTCTGCTTGCTGCTTATGCCCGAGTCCCACTGGAGCGACAAACATGAACAGCCGACACCGGCAAGCCTCAACTTGCAGTTCCTCGGTGCTCGTGAAGTAAGCACGAGAGATTGCAAGCCTGCCAACCTTCGCGTGCATTTTTTTATTTTTTTATTTATAACATACTGCAGACCAAGATGGTCCAACCAGGAGGGAATAAGAAAGAGTAAACCACACACCGTGCATGACAATATATAAGCAATACCTTCGACAGGAAGTACAAATAAAGAACTTTTACACAGAGCATAAAAAGCCACCAGCAGCAGAAGGAAATGTAGCAGTGAGGGCCTATGAAGTCATGAACTGGGAGGAAGCGGCTAACTGAGTGGGAAGAGGATTCCAGTCACTAATTGTCCCGTGGAAAAAAGAAAATTTAAAAAGATTGGTGCGAGCAAAGTAAGGTGCCAGTAAGTGTGGCTGATAATGTCTGGTCTGTCTCGTAGTAACGGGTTGTGGGTAGGGGTGCCGATTAATAGAAAGCCTATCATTTGCAAGAAGATACAAGAATTTCAGCCTAGACTTTTTTCTTCTTTCCTCTAAAAACAAATCAATTTGGTTTATTTTCATTAGTGAGGAGCAAGAGTCGGTTTGTTTGAATTTATCGTAAATAAGTCTGACTGCCCGCCTTTGAACTGTTTCTAGTTTATTTATATCTTTTTTGGTAAAGGGGTCCCATACAATGCTGGCGTATTCAAGCTTAGGTCTTACGAGTGAGTTGTACGCTAGTAATTTTACATTAGAGGGCGTATTCTTTAGTTTGTGCTTAATCAATCCAAGCTTTCTAAAAGCAGCAGATGTTATGTTTAGACCAGCTGAAATGTTTTTCTAATGTCAGTCCAAGATACTTATAAGTATCTACCTCAGAAACGTCATAGTCCCTTATTTTGTACTGAAAGGAAAAAAAAAATTTTTTTTGTTCGTGATTCTAAGAAAATTAGTTTTCTCAAGATTCAGGCTCATATTCCACTGGTGGCACCAATCCTGTATAAAATTAAAACTCAAATTCAGTGCAACTTGATCACTCGGACACGTTACTTCTTTAAACAACGCACAGTCATCCTTGAATAAACGGATGCTGACACCTGGGGCAACAATAGAAACAATACCATTAATATATATCAAAAACAATAATGGTTCCAGGACACTTCCTTGGGGTACTCCGGAAGTCACATCAAGCATCTCTGAGCAGGCAGCACCAACCTCTACATACTGTTTACGGCCACGCAGATAGGAGCTAATCCATTTTACTATAGCTGGATCGAGACCAATGCAGTTTTCCGTGTGGTACTCTGTCAAAAGCCTTGCTGAAGTCGGCGAATAAAACATCTATCTGTCCAGATTTGTCCAACGTGGAGGCGAATTCGTGTGCTGTGGTAACAAGCTGAGTTACTGTTGAATACCCCTTCCGGAATCCGTGCTGAAACTCGGTCCTTAAGTTATTTCTATCGAGGAAGTCAGTTACCATATTTGAAATCACGTGTTCTAGTAGCTTACATGATCTACACGTCGAAGAAATTGGTCTGTAGCTGCTCATAGATAGGTGGTCCCCTTTTTTAAAAACCGGCACAACTCGTGCCAAGAGCCACTCATTTGGCAGAACGCCCGACAAGAAAGAAACTCGAAAAATCACTGTTAGAAAGCGTGCCAAGGGATCCGCAAAAGGACGCAAAAGGGTATGGGGTATCTAGAAAAAAAGTATGCACATGAGTCTATATGTTTTCTGTGAAAAACACTCAATTATGACCCCTTGTCAATTCGGTTTCCGAAAGGGGTACTCGACAGAGTTGGCGCTACTAAAACAGAAAGAAATTATACTTACAAACATCGAAAACAAACTGCTAACATTAGGCCTATTTATCGATTTTTCGAAGGCATTCGATCGCCTTAATCATAAAACTTTACTGCAGAAACTGGACCTTTGTGGCATCAGGGGTGTTGCCCTGAACCTAATCGAAAGATATTTGCAAGACCGTTATCAGTACGTTGAAATTGACGGGGAGCGTTCAAACATGCGCCAAATAAAGGCAGGTGTACCGCAAGGGAGTATTCTCGGGCCCCTTCTCTTCAATATTTTTATAAATGACATAGTGAACTTAGATAATAGCGTCAACTACATAATATACGCAGATGATACAAGTTTGTTTTTCTTTGGAACTAGCATTGACGTCATTATAAGAAAAGCAAATCAATTCTTGCAGAGTCTAAACGTTTGGACCACCGCAAATTTATTAACAATAAATGTTGCAAAAACTAAGACAATTATTTTCCGCGCAAAAAATACAAGCTGCACCAGCAGCCTGCCGGGAGGGCTCTCTTTTGCCTCACGAGATGTGGAAATTGTAAAAAATGCTAAGGTGCTTGGCGTAACTTTTAATGAACATATGCTGTGGGATTAGATGGTGCAAGACACAACCATAAAGCTCCCAAAGGTTGTAGGCGTTTTATATAAATACCGTAATATCTTAACCCCCTCGATAATGCTGCTTATATATCACGCCCTGTTCTACTCATATTCCCTGGTTTGGGGTACCACTACGAAAACGAACGTTCTGAGACTTTTCATAATGCAAAAGAGGGCAATACGAATAATATGTAATGTAGCGTTTGATCACTCCACGAAATCTTTGTTTAAAAAGCTTGACACGTTAAAAATCACCAATTACTATAGCTCAAGCTTTTGATGTCATATAAAAGATCATTAAGCAACCGTGTTAGCGTTTTTAATTTATTCTCAGGTTTGGAGTCGCGGGACGCAACATACATCACTCGTCATTCTCGAAACTGGGCCGCACCGCACTCCAGAACCACTTAGGGTGACCAGAGACTGGCTTTTACTCTCCCAAGAATTGTAAACAACCTTGAAGCAAAGGGAATTTCCGTGGCCAACACAAGCAAAAAGGAAATTCGTGACCTATTTGAGTAATCTATTAAATAGGTGTTGTCATGTTTTGAAGGTGCAGAGGCAGTTGCGTATATATTTTTCAAAGTCAATGTGCATTGTAGTGCATGTGCTCATTACTAAACTCTTAGAGCAAGCGTGTGCTACTTTGAATTATGTTTACCTTGTTTAACCCTTCGCACTGTATATAATTGACACCACTGTCCTGTGTAAGCGCTCGATTATCTGTTTTTATATATGTTACATAATACATTGTTCTTTCACTCATATGTTGTGTTTCTTCTGCGGATGTAAAGGGGAGGCGGGGGCTTCGTCAAGTAGCGACGTGTTGTTTTTTCCCTGCCTTCCCCTCTCAAATGGAGAGGAAATAAATTGATTGATTGATTCATTGATTATCGGGCCCAACAGACTTTTTGGTTTCTAAATTCACTAACATAGAAAAAATTCCTGCATGAGATATGAAGTCTGCGATCAGATGTGAACGATTCACGATTTTCACGCTCGTACATTTCAGCCTCGGAAAATACTGATTGAAAGTAGGCATTAAAGGGGTCATGAAACGATTTTCCTACTTCTTCCTCCTTAGCTGAGTCCTCAACTCAAACGCGAATTGTGAAATCACGTCGTCGTGACATTGTTCGGCACCGGTGCGATGACTCCTAGCTTCCACCATGCTTTTTATGCACACCATGGAACTTGTCATTCGCTAGTGACGATAAGTTCCGTCAGGGCACTCATTGGTCACGAACGCGAATCCAAATATTCGTCGACGGATCGATTGTTGACGAGCGCGCACGTCGGAGTGACGCAGTTCTCGTGTCTAATGCGTGAGCTGGGCTCGGCTGACGTCAGGTTGGCACCGCCTGCCGCGCTTTGGGAACCGCGGATGTATCATAGTGAAAAGGCGGAGGGCTTTCGAAGGAAAGAAGGAACAAAATAGTCCGCTATGTTTTCAAATGGTCGTATCGAAAAGCTGGCTTTTGACTTTCTACCCTCTTCCTTTTGGCCAAATAAACGATATGCGATTAGTAAAGTCCCAGTTTAAAATCATTCATTCCAGCCCGAAATTCGTCTCATGGCCCCTTTAAAATGACGAGCGATTGTTGTGTCATCAGCAACCACCGTACCGTCAACAGATATTTGACTGTGGTTTTCTTTGGTTGCTCAAATAGCTCCAAAACTTCTGAGGATCATTTGTAAGAAAATTCGTCAGTGTGTTGGAAAAGTAATAATCACGGGCTTGTTGAATGCATCGTCCCAGCTCACTCTGCATGCTCTCTATAGCCGACCGTTGTTAGCACGCTTTGTTTTTCTAAGGCGTTTAATCCTTCGCTTTAAGTGAATTATTTGTCGATTGATCCAGAGGTTAGCCTTATTTACGCGTTTTTTCTTACTAGGGACAAAATGATCCAAACAATAATGGCACATGCACGCCAGAGCCAGGCACGTAGCCAGGGGGGAGGCCCATGAGGCAAGGACCCCCCCCCCCAAATTTCTTCCATTTTGCATGGGTCCTCCTCTCCCCCCTCCCCTTCATACAGAATTTTGTCATGGGCTCCGCTACCCAGATAAAATAGGGGGTTTTCGTAGATCGTTCTCGCCGTCCCGCAAGGCCCTCCGCAACCCGCTACGATAGCGGGAACTCCACAGTGACGGCTATCGGCGCGCAGGCGCAGTAGCAACTTCTTCGTTGTGGAACGCTTAGCGGAGGGGGCAGCGCGGTC